AATCCCCTTTCCTATTTATAAATTATAATACAACTACAACGGCCTTCCCTCCTACCTAAGGAGTTCTAACTACAGTACACTATACTCCAAAACCTCGATCCGGATCACTAGATTCACTACACATCAGAACCTCTGGACACTACTCTCCCAAATCCGGAACAAACTTCTGTAGCAGGGGTCTGACGATGAAGCTGCCTGCCTGCGGGTCCTTCGCCACCAGGGGCGGGTACTCCCCCCAAGTTCTCCAGGACTCTGTTGCTTCGCTCCCCGACTTGCGCTTCTGTTTTTGCCAATCCACCAGCAAGGTCATTCTTTTTTATTATAAAACAGACCAGGATTGTATCCTAGAGGGTGATAAGAGCAGGCTCCTGTGATCCCTTCCCCTCCCCCCCCGCCCCCCCCCCCGGGTGACTCCAATCTATATTGGTGTGGAGCATCACCTGCTGGAAACCGGGTCCAGCATCTCTTAACAAATAGTAACCAGAATTGTACCCAGAAGGGTAAAAGACTCATGAGCATGAACATGACTGTTGTTTTCTGCAGATTTTCCTTAACAAGTTAACAGTTACTCTATTTCTCAAGCCCACCATCGTGATGCTCTTGCCTTGCCGAATGCATTCATTGCGCGTAGTCCATATTGCCCAAAGCTCCGTTCCCCTGACTACTTCAGCTGCGTAGAGCTTCTGCTTGTCCATTCTGTCCACGGCCATCAATGCACCCAGCAGGATCGCCACATCATCTTCCTCCCTTTAGTATCTATGGGGACGGCTCCCTCATTGTCAGCTCCCACCATCTCCAGAACTCTGCTAATTTCTGCTTTCTGTACGAGCTCGATGAGCAGCTCCATGAGTGCTAGCCAGCGCCCTACCTACCTTCTCCCAGTCAATGTCCTCTTGTCTTTCCATGTTGTTTATGATTTGTTTTATTTCAAATTATCTGTTCTTCGCAATGATTTGGCATCTGATTTTCTTCCAGTGGAGGGGGGGGGGGGGGGATGAGGTCCAGAATCGGGGTCCCAGCCAGGGACAGCACATTCATCAGACTCCAATCAGTCAATGGTTTTAGATGTCCTCTCATTTTCTTGTGTCTAATTAGAGGTCTCGGGTGAGGGTTGTTTTCGTTTGGGACTCCGGGAGCCGTGTGGTTCTGGCTAGCTCAGCCTAGCTGCGTGATCTGCATCTCACCGATTCTTCTGCTGAGGGCATGTCTACGTCTTGCCCTGGATGGCCAGGACCCGCCTCAGCTCAGTTTTCCCCATCTTCAGTCCCGCTCCCTCCCGTCCTCATCTGGATGTCTGTCGAGGGGGCATCGTGGTTTTCGGGCTCCATGGCACACTCCAGCAGGGATGTCCGGAGAGCAATGTTGGGCGCACATCTGCTGTTGCTCGCCCATCTGTGATAGCTGTGCGTGTGCACCGTGTGTGCCCTGCGGTGGAGGGTGGCCAGTGAGTGGTGCGGTGTGTGACTTTGCTCGGTGTGCTGTGGCAAGTATGCTAACACTCGATGCTGCTTTGGTCTGTACTGCTGTTGTTCGTATTCCAGCATTTGCACGGCCTGTTGCTCCCGACACCTTTGTTGCTCTTGTCGAGCTATTCATAGCAGTTGCTGCTGGGAGCATCGCAGCAGCTGCCGGTGTTCTTGCTCCCGCTTGAGTTGAAGCTCGTGTAGCTGGTGTAAGGTCTGCAGCTCTTGCTGCTGTTGAGTGACACTGTGCTGCACCTGTGTTAGGTATTGCAGAAGGTGGGCATGATCATCAGTTGTTTGTACGGGCGCTCCAATGGCTTCGTTCACGGGCGCCGGGCTAATCGGATGTTGTAATTGGGCGAGTTGGGCCCTTGCCAGATAGTGGAAGAGGGCCGTTTGCTCGGGGTGAGAGGCTGGCGTTGGTGTTTCTGTGCCTGCAGCGGGGAGGCGGGGAACCAATCGCTCTCCGGGCTATTGGGCGGCGGTTCACTATGTTCCCAATCTCCATCCATCAGATTCTTCATTAACCGGGTCCTTTCCATGGCTTCGGCCAGTTCCTTCTCCACTTCCCTTGCGGCCACAACATCTGCCACACCATTCGCCGGGATTGGAATTTGATTGACCTCAGCGCAATCCTCAGGCATAGCATGACCGGCATCTGCAGCCTGTTGGCCCGGGTGACAGTCCTCGCTGTTTTCTGAGTGGTCTGGCTGTTGCCGCACCCCATTGTTGGGTTGTTGCTGGGTAGCTGTCACATACACATCCAAAAATGACAAGTATAGCGCAGATCCAAGGAGTTGACTCAAAGCAAGAGACTTGAAATGGTATTCACCAGTTTGCAGTAACTGATGCAGATCCCAGGGCTCGATCCCTAGTTCCCCACCTTACCTGTGTCAACCCGTAGATTTGAACCTGTGACCTGTAGGACCGCCAGTGGTAGGTAGGATCGATCTCGTAGGTTACATGGTACAGGGGATTCGAACTGTAGATCTGTCGGGTAGGAGTATAGACAGTCCAGAGGTCGTAGCTGTAGACTGTCTGAAGGGTCAAAGTCGTAGCTGCTACTTACCTGAAAGGGTAGAGTCGTAGCTGCTACAGTACCGAAAGTCCAAACAGATAGTTCTAGAAGTGGCCTTTCGGAGTCAGCCCCAGTTTGGGTAGAGGCCAGTGGGCAAGTGGTGGAAGTCCACCACGCGAGTCAGCAGTCCCAGTCCAGCCAGTCCGGTCCAGTCAAGTAAGTACCGTCTGGGACTGTGCACATCGTGGGCCAGGGAAACAGGGCAGGCCAACGAGGCAGAGAAGTATAAATCAAGAGGTGCGCACAGCCATTCATTCATTCCTGTGGAAGCCATGCGGAAGTGCTGCCTCAGCGTCTCGTGCGAGGTCTGCAGTGTGCCCGAAGTCGAAGTGGGCAGAGAAGTGTAGTATATCGATAGGGTAGTGGCAGCTAGCGCTGCCATAGCTGTAGTGGTGTGTGTGTGTGTTGTGTGCGTGTACAGAGTGTCGTGTATGGGATATCCGGGTTGATCTAGTGTGTGAACAGTGGATGTTGGGCGCTCAGTCGCCGTAGAGGAAGCGAACTTACCTGGAAGCCATATCTTTGTGTACTGTGTGGGCGCATGTACTGTTCACGTGCATGAAAAGTGTCAAAGAGTCGAGTCTGATTGCACTGGTATCGGAGCTGGTTCCCGCTATCCCATGTGCGCCGTCGTGTGCAGGGCTGATGCGCCATAGCTGAGGTGGCCGCTGGAAGGAGAAGTCCGCCATAGCGGACCTGAGGAGGAAGGAGCCGCCGCGCACCTGCGACGAGACCACAACGAAGGAGAAGACTAAGAGAGAGAGAGAGAGAGAGAGAGAGAGAGAGAGAGAGAGAGAGAGAGAGAGAGAGAGAGAGAGAGAGAGAGAGAGA